ATCCTTTAATCCAGGTGTCGTACTGTTTGCTCAGAAAGCCCTGACCATGCAGAAACATGAATATAGTCATGCAGCACAGTGCATGAGAAGGAAGAATGGTAAAGGATGAGGTGCAATAGGCAAACAGGAGCCAAACAGTATGGAGCCTTTGGAACAAAGTAAAGAGTTTGGAATTTAGGATGCTGGGTGGCTCAGATGCTTAAGTGTCTGCCTTCAGCTCAGGTCATGGTCCCAGGGTCCTGGGATCGAGTCCCGCATCGGGCTCCCTGCTCCTTGGGAGCCTTCTTCTCCCTCTGCCAGTCTCTCTCTCTCTTTCTCTGTCTCTCGTGAATAAATAAATAAAAATCTAAAAAAAAAAAAAGAGTTTGGAATTTATTCTGAGTATGATGGTAATTGTTCAGGTGGCTGTTACCAGGAGTATGGCATGATCTGATCCAGGTTTTATTGATCACTCTACTGGCTATGAGAGGAATAGATGGGCAGTGGGTGAGAGTAGAAGCAAGGAGACCAATAAGGATGCTCCTACTGTCTTTGGGCTCAGTATGATGGCTGATTTCCTGCACAGAGTAGTAATGGTAAAAAAGGGACAGAGGTGGGCATAGTAGGGCTTTATGTTGAAGAAAAAGCTGATGTGCTGGATGAGGGATGTGTAGGGGTGGGGGTAGAAGGAGAAGTATTCTAATTCTCAGATGTGTTATTGCCTAAGGTTTTTTTGTTTGTTTGAGCAACTGGTAGTGCCATTTACTTAGAGGGAAAGACTTGGCAAGTGTAAAGATAGGCAGTTGAGAAGTAGTAAGTCAAAAGGTCTTTTGCATATTCTGTCTGACATGCCCTATCACCAGCAGGAAACAGATGACACACGAAGTAAACCCAAGTCGAATGTTTACAGAGATGTGAATGGTGTTAAGGGAACAAACACGGCACCCAAGGGCTAGCAACAATGGGAAGCCTGAAGGGGCAAGGGAAGGAGAACATTACTGGATACGGCGGAGCTGTAGCCTTGGGAGAGGGCCCACATAACATGAGTGGGATTAGGTAGAAAACAGGACCACTGACAAAATCACAGCTGAACAGGAAGGGAGCTCAAGTAGTCATTTATCTGCCCTCTGTATCTTTCTGCTTTTTCATATCCTGCTGGTGCTTCCCTCTGGCTGAATCCAACCAGACGCCAGAGGGCTTGTGTGCCCACGGTGATGTGATTGGTAGGAAGCAGGGCACAGACTTAGGGCAGTGCCACAGAGGGAGTGAATCTGATGGACAAGCAGAGAGAGCAGCACTGATGCCTCTACTTCTCTTTACTGGGCTCTTTAAAGAAAGAGAGAGCTAAGGGCAGAAATGGCCTGGAAGTCATCAGCATTTCCGTGGTTTATGTTGCAGCTTAAGAGCTAATGTTTGTTAAGCTCTTACTTTGTGCTAGGCATGCCACCAACATTTCACATGCATCTTCCAATTCAATTCTCAAAACAAACCTAGAGGTTAAATTCCAATTACTCAGGGTAATGGTATTTAACCTCTAGGATTGTTTTGAGAACTAAATGAGGCAAATGACACACAGCGAAGTGAAGCAATTTGTTTAAGGTCCCACAGCTATCAGGTAGCAGATCCAAGAACTAAGTCCCAGACGTTTCTATTCCCAGGACCAGTGATAGCAATCATCACTGCACGTAGCTTCTCTGAGAGAATCAAATACTGGAGCAATGACATATTGGGTCACATGGGTTTTTTCTTATAAGACTCTTCCCTCTTTTACATTTTCTTTCCACTTCTTTGAAAGAAAACAATCCTGACAAGAATTCACCAAAGAAGATATTCCAAATTTTAACATCCTGGTTTGGGTATTGCTTTTGATTAAGGCTGTTTGCAGACTAGAATATTAGTAACCCACATATTCCCTGTACCACAAAAAGAGTAGATTCACTTTTATCTTGGGAACAAAGCTGGATAGAAAAGCTTTTTTTAACTTTTCTTAATTCATGAAACATTTATCTTCAAGTCAGGTTTTGTTATAGCAGCACAAATGTGGTCCGTCAGCATTTCCATTATAGCCCCATATTTCCAGGGCTTTTCAAGAGTGCCTTAGAGATTCCACTTTGAATTAAAACTTGGCATTCAGGATTTGAATCAGAAAACTCCATTTTCCTTAACAATTAATCAAAGAGTTTAGAGATTCTCACTTTAGCAGAGCACCAAATGTAAAACTTTTATAATGCAAAAAAACATTTTGCTAATTTAAATATATATTTTTTTAAATATTAGCACTCACTATGCAGGTGTAATATTATACAACTATATATGATATTAATTCTAAAAGAAAATTGACTATAAAAGTTCCTAAGATAATATATGAAAACTTATAATATCTTACACTTTGCCTTTTTGGCTTTGTAAGTAATTTATTTCTACTTTGGTGATTTAGAGGATTTGAAGTTCTCAGCATAATTGGTTTAAAGTTGTAGCAGCGTCAAGATAGTGAACCAGAATAACATGGGTAGGGGAGATCCTGAAAGAGTGCCAAAGTATTTCAACATATTTTTGTGAAATTTAAATTCCTGTGGGGAAATTTTGCATTCTGTGAAAAGGGATTAACAGCATGTATTAATTCTGTAAATAAATATTTGAAGTTTAACTTGCTGAACACAATGGCGATAGTGAGGACTCAATAGAGCTTAGTTATAAAACCTTTCCAACTTTGCTTAGTTCCAAACTATTCCATGAATGTCCTATAACAGTGAGGAGACATGCTGATGATCCTCTATCTTTCCGATCTCATTTTGTAATCTTTTATGTAATCTTTCCTCCAGCCGTAATGGTTTAGGACTAAGTAATCAGAGTAGATGAAGCGTTTTAGCAAGCCTACTCTACTTCTCATTTATTTGTCTCCATCCACATTGGCTTCCTTGCTATTGTAGAAACACACCAGGTAAACTCTGATCTTTGAGACATTTGCTCTACCTTTTCTTTCTTCCTGGAATAGTTTTTTTCTCCAGATGTCTTCTTGGCTTGCTTCAATCCTTGTTCAAACCTTACTTTTTGAGTGTAGTCAAACCATATCATTCTACTTGATAATTTGGTTTGCCCTTAGCCCCTCAATCCCAAAACTCATAATACCCCTTACCCTGTCTGACTTTTCTTCTTTTCACAATACTTATGATCTTCTAACACACTTTATACCTTTCTAAAATATCTATTTCCACCCTCTCCCCTTATAAAGTAAGGTTGATGGAGACACAGTTCTTTGTTTTATTCACTGACAGATCCTAAGCACCTAGAATTGTGCCTGACATAGATTAATTGCTCAAAAATATTTGTTGAATGAATACATTGTTGAATTAAATCTGAAATTTAGCCCATAACAAGAATCTACAAACAATATTCCAGATATAACTCTCTCTGGTTCTTCTACAAAATTTGTGTTATTTCCCTAAGATAATTAAGAATGCCCTTTGAACATTGGTGTCAAAATGAAAAGTCCCCACATTTAAAGCCCCTGTGTAATGTGTTATGAGCCCAATTTGCTTGAAATAATTTAAACTGAAATTTGGAAATTTTTGTAGTTAATTTTAATTTTAGTTATTATTTGGAAAAGATGACCAGAATGGGTAGATGTGAAATATAGTTTTCATAAAACAAATGCTTAGTTTGTGTTAAAAATGTTTTATAACATTTTTATACATATAATGATATTAATGCCAAACTGTGGAAACTCAGGAATTAAAACATGATCTCATAATCTAAAACAAACAAAAAAAGAACCCCACATCCCCAGCAGTGATGGCAATGATGTGCTGCAAACAAGCACCCTCTATAAGGGCTTCACTACTTGGCCCCATGGCTTGAAAACTATGCTAATTGCAAGATGGAGTCATATGGTGAAATTTCACCACCAGCTCAATAGTGTAAAAGTGAGGATACTAGAGTTCCAGTGCACAGACAAGCAGTGATGACACACTTACCAACATAGCCTTGACTGATTCTGAATGGTAGCTGATAGCAAAAGCTAGTATTTTCAATCATGAGAATGTATTAACTTTATTATTGGACTAAAGCAATACCTTTTTTGTGGGGGTTGAGGGGTATAAGCAGTTTATTTGGTTGCTGTCCCAGGAAGTAGAAGTGAAGAAGCAAGGAGTGAGCTAAAGAAGAGAGCAAGACCCAATAAAGGATACATTCTTGATCCATTTGCCCTGTGGGCAACTAAGGCTAAATCCTGCTGAGGATTCTCTGATGAATAATTGTAGAACACACAGCCTTAGAAGCATTCCTTTAAACAGCACTGTCCAATAGGACTTTCTTGATGATGGAAATGTTCTACGTCCACATTGTCTGCTATAATAGCCACCTGGAATATGGCTAGTATGACTGAGGAAATGAGTTTTTAATTTTAATTTTATTTATTTTTTTAAAGATTTTATTTATTTATTTGAGAGAGAGAATGAGAGAGAGAGAGAGAGAGAGAGAGAGAGAGCACATGAGAGAGGGGAGGGTCAGAGGGAGAAGCAGACTCCCCGCCAAGCAGGGAACCTGATGCGGGACTCGATCCCGGGACTCCAGGATCATGACCTGAGCCGAAGGCAGTTGCTTAACCAACTGAGCCACCCAGTGGCTCATAAATAAAATTATCACCCATAATTTTATTTAATTTCAATTAATTTAAGTGTAAATAGTCATATAAATGGCTGGCTAGTGACTACTCGTTTGGACAGCTCAGCTCTAAAGGATCAGATTTTCAGGCATTAATCACTAATTCCCATCCCCCATTTGTCAAGGTATATGGAGGAAGGGGTATTAACTCTGTCATACTTCCAACCTAGTCTGCATAGAGGCTAAGATATCTGCCAGGGTTGGGAGAAATCCCTAAGGAAGAAAAGTTGAGAGGAACACTGTCTTGATATAAGGAAACTTAACGCAATACTTTAAAACAAATAAAATTAATTACCTTTTGATTTCTTTCACATATTGAATGGAATTTATTTGATTTTATTTCTGCTTTGTCTTCCTAGGGTAACTGTGAGCAGTCACTTTATGGTCACATGCATTCTATCAATGATGCCACCTTCACTCCTAGGGTGAGTTCAGTTCTCCCAATAAATACTTTTAATATTTCATATATACAAGTTAATTTTACTGAAACAAAGTACCAGGAGAAAATGGTAAGTTAACAGGGCAAGGAGAACAAATTCCAGAATTAATTATGACAATGGAAAAAATATATAGATAGTTTGGGTTGTAGAAGTTTAAAAAACACACACAATATACAGTGGTAGGAACAATGAGGAATTCTATCTTTAACTCCACTTAAACACATTTTTAAAAGCATCTTGTCTAATGTGGGCTCAAGAAAGTAAATGGGATATAAACTTGTAAATATTAATGTAGAATCATAAAAATAATGAAAATGCTTGAAAGGAAACCCAAGAATAAAAAAGCCATCAAAGAAAAATAGACTTTCTTCAGGTTAAAACAGAGCAACCTTGATTTGACAGCTTTTCAATTACTCATTGAAAGGTTTCAAATATATCTTTTTCCAAATAAACTGATGACATAGCAGAAGTGTTTATCCACAGCTTGAGGTATTCAGATATCAGGATGATTTTACCAACTATGAAGATTATTAAACACTGCTTTGAGTCACTAAGCTAATTGAGGTTGTCTTTAAAACGGTACAGATAATACTCATGGAAGGATGATTTAAGTTTGTTCTTTCTCAGATGAAAGCTATTTGACTGATAGATGACCTCTCAAGTCCTTTCAAACTCTATGATTTAATTATACCTAACATTTTAATTTGTCTCTAAATTCCCAGTAGAGTGTAAATCTTAATTCCATACCCCTCTTCTTTCCCAATTAGCTAAAAAATCAATCTGATAGATTACCTACCTCTAACTTCAAAATGACAGCATTGTCAAAATTCTGATACTATCATGCTATTACTATTCTTTTAGGCAGAAGAAAAATGTTCACTAAAAAGTATTTCTTCTAAAGGAATGTTATTTGCTGCAACTAAAATTGTACTGGTGGCATTGTGATTGACACCTGGAATGTTAGTGATTGGCTCAACTACAATTATATTTTAACAAATTCATCTTATTAAGTAATTTCCATTTAATTGACTTTGTTGAGCCAATATATTATGGCTTGTTTCTAGGTACCAAGTAAAATTTTATTTTTAGCAGAGTATAGAGCCATTTAAGCACTGTGAACCCATATGATATAGGATATTTATGCTAAAAATCTATTAAATGGCTTATAGTTTCACATACCCTAAGAAAATTCAATGGAAACTAAAATGAAATAAATTATTTTGTGAGTCAGGCAGTTTATTTTGGTAAGCAATAACATAGCTAAAAAAGACATGCCATTTAACATCCCAAATAATAAAATTAATAAATATAAAATTAGCCAAATTAAATTTATTCATTTAGCAATCAAGGGACACATACGTTAAGTACATATAGTTAAAAGGCAAGATGATGTATATGAGGTCCAGGTGTCCAACATCAAAGTGGCTAACCTGTTTTTGTTTATACACTTTGTCCATACCAAAGGACTATTACCACACTATTCCAAATCAACATCCTCAGGCCCCATTTAAATGCTTCCATTAGCTTATCTCTTCTTTGCTGTAAATGTTTAATAACTATTAAGGAAATTATATTTTATGATGATAACTGACACGGGTGAAATTTTTGGTCACATATGTTAATTGTTTTGAAAACTTTTATTTCACATACTTGCCAAAGAATGTCAAGAGATTAGGAGGTAGCAGTGACTGAAAGAGCACAGACTTTTACTCAAGGACGTGGCATTGTGACACAGTTCACATTCAAACAAACTATCAAACAAAGCTGTCATAATAAATGCATTATACAGTGCATATATAGCAGGCAGAAATTTGAATATTTAGAATTAGACTTGCTAATTATTTGATGCTTTAGGGAAATGACTTCAAGTTGCATTACTAGTTAAAAATGCATTTAGCTATTTATGTAAACATAATTTAGGAAAGTTCTACAATTTTAGATTTGTAAGCAGAAATCACAAATGTAAAATTCAGTGTTATCTAGCTAGCAACCAAGAATCACAGAAGCAAATATACAACATATAATGGTTTTGTATGGTCCTAAAAAGCTATGTAAATTGAATTGTAATTCTATGTTGTATTATTAGGATTCTGATATCTTTATTTCTGACTAATCTTCCCATTGGAAATAGATACTTATTTAAAACTTCTTTTTTTAAAGTAAACAGTTAATGAAACATTTTAAGGAATTATGAAAGGGCTTTACTAAGTCCATTTTGTAAAGCAAAAACAAAAATTAAAAAAATTGACAGTAATCGCTGGACACAGAAAATTCAATATAAATTAAAAACAAAACAAACCAACAACTACGTAAAAACACATAGCAAGAAAATGAGTAAGGTATCCCTATCAGAGTATCCTCCACATTTAATTTTCCAGGAAGTAGTCTGACCTGCTGGAGATTCCATCAGGCCTTCTAGTAGCTCTTGTTGCATCCCCCAAGAGGGATGTGAGAGATAGGAAGGGTATTGAAATCAGATTAGAGGACAGACATAACTCTCTGGGAATGCACGTCTAAGTAATAAGGGAAAACCTGCTGGCTTAGAATGTCTATCCATAACAGAAATAAATATAACACATTTTGTATATCAAAATGGCCATAAAATCAAAATGAAAACATCAAAAAGCCAAATACTAATAAAACATAAAGGTACGGAAAAAGGTTAAGTCCAGTCTGCATTTTCTATCCCTAGGTATCTTTCCCTGCACTTTCTACCCTTAGGTGTCAGAGGTTATGGATCCAGGTTGTTTGATAAGGAGTGCCCCCAGAAATCATGTCTAAGTCAGCTTCGGTTTAAAGGTCATTAAGGAAAAAAATTGACTTTCAGAATTGATTGAGGGATCATGGATCAAATGAGAGGTATTAAACTCCAAATTACACCAGCATTCCACTGAAATCCTAAAGTAGATTCACTGCTGGGAACAAATTTTACTGCTTAGAACCTCCCAGCCACTTTCCCTCATTCTTTGAAGACTAGAGTTCCTAAATCATTGTCTTTTTCTATACATGTGGCCCATGCGCCACTCTGACCACTTCCTTGACTGCATTTTCTCCACCACCCTTTTTTTCCTCAGCTACGTATTCCTAAAGTCAGACTCTGAACACCTTGTCATTAACTGTAAATGTATCATGTCCAAAATCTCAATTCCAAGCACACTTTTCTGAACGTATCTGTTTGTCTTTCCACGTCTTAAGTAAATCGAGTACAACAAATTTTGTCCCTCACTGAGGGCTCTAATCAGTTAAAATCTTACTCACCATCTTATCACCCCTTCTGCCTTCACTTAGCATTTTACCCCAGCTTAGGTTCTTTAGTTATCGTTCTATCAATTCCATTGCAAAGGACTTTAGTTCAATTTGATTTCATTTCCTCTACATAGCATACTTGGCAAATCTACATTCTTTATAGAAAAGATTTAAAAATGTGGAGATTTTAAAATACTATACCATCAAACTGGTTGTTTTCTGTTTTTTGTTATTTGAATATAGTTGACACAAAATGTTACATTAATTTCAGGTGAACAACTTAGTGATTTGAGAAGTTTATACATTACGCTATGTTCATCACAAATATAGCTACCATCTGTCCCATTACATTGCTATTAAAATGTTATTGACTGTATTCCTGATGCTCTGCTTTTTATTTCCATGTCTTACACATTCCATAATTGGAGGCCTATATCTCCCTCTCCCTTTCACTCATTTTGCCCAAACCCCCACCACCCTCCCCTCTGGCAACCATCAGTTTGTTCTCTGTCTTTACAGTTCTGCTTTTTGTTTGTTTACTTTTTTTTAGATTCCATTTATGAGTGGAATCATATGGTATTTGGCTTTCCCAGTCTTACTTATTTCACTTAGCAAAATCCCCTCCAGGTCCATCCATGTTGTCTCAAATGACATGATCTCATCCTTTTTATGGCTGTGTAATATTCCACTATGTATATATACCACATTTTCCTTATCCTTTTGTCTATTGATGGACACTTGGGTTGCTTCCATGTCTTGGCTATTTTAAATAATGTCCCAATAAACATAGAGGTGCATATATCTTTTTTAGTTAGTGTTTTGGTTTTGCTTGGGTAAATACACAATGGTGGAATCATTGGATCATATAGTATTTCTAAACATTGCACAAGGGTTCCTTTTTCTCCACACCCATGCCAACACTTATGTCTCTCGTCTTTTTGATTTTGGGCATTCTAATAGGTATAAGGTGATATGTCATTGTGGTTTTGATTTGCATTTCCCTGATGATCAGTGATGTTGAGCATCTTTTCATGTGTCTGTTGGCCATCCGTATGTCTTCTTTGGAGAAATGTCCATTCAAGTTTTCTGCCCATTTTTTAATCAGATTGTGGGTTTGTTTTTTGTTTTTTGTTTTTTGTCTTTTTGGGGGTTTTTTTGATATTGAATTGTATGCATTCTTTATATGTTTTGGATAACCCCTTCTTGGATATATCATTTGCAAATATCTTCTCTGATTCAGTAGGTTGTCTTTTTTGTTTTGTTGATGGTTTCCTATGCTGTGCAAAAGCTTCTTATTATCATATAGTCCCAATAGTCTATTTTTGCTTTTGTTTCCCTTGCCTTGGGAGATGTATCTAGAAATATGTTGCTATGGCTTATGTCAGAGAAATTCCTGCCAGTGCTCTCTTCTAGAATTTTTATTGTTTCAGGTCTCTCATTTAGGTCTTTAATCCATTTTGAATTTATTTTTGTGTATGGTATGAGTAAGTAGCCCAGTTTCCTTCTTTTACATGTAGCTCTCCAGTTTTCCCAGAACCATTTATTGAAAAGACTGTCTTTTCCCCATTGTATATTCTTATCTCCTTTGTCATAGATTAATTGACCATATAAATATGGGTTTATTTCTGGGGTCTCTATTCTCTTCTATTCATCTAAGTGTCAGTATCGTACTGTTTTGATTACTACAGGTTTGTAGTATATCTTGAAATCTGGGATGTGATATCTCTAGCTTTGTTCTTCTTTCTCAGAATTGCTTTGGCTATTCAGAGTCTTTGGTGGATCCATACAACTTTTAGTATTATTTATTCTAGTTCTGTGAAAAATGCTGTTGTTATTTTGATAGGGATTGCATTGAATCTGTAGATTGCTTTGGGTATTATGGGCATTTTAACAATATTCTTCCAATCCATGAGCATGAAATATCTTTCCATTTGTTTGCGTCATCTTCAATTTCTTTCATTAGTGTTTTATAGTTTTCAGAGTACAGGTCTTTTACCTCCTTCTTAAGTTTATGACTAGGTACTTTATTCTTTTGGTGCAATTATAAATGGTGTTTTGTTTTGTTTTTAATTTCTCTTTCTGTGACTTTGTTGTTCCTGTATAGAAACACTATGGATTTCTGGGTATTAATTTTGTATCCTGACACTTTACTGAATTTGTTTATTACTTCTAGTAGTTTTTGGTAGTATCTTTAGGATTTTCTATGAATTGTATCTTGTTATCTCCAAATAGTGACAGTTTAACTTCTTCGTTACCAATACAGATGCCTCTTACTTCTTTTTTCTTGTCTGATTGCTGTGGCTAAGACTTCTAATACTATGTTGAATAAAAGTGATGACAGTGGACATTCTTGTTTTTTCCTGAGCTTAAAGGGCAAACTCTCAGTTTTTCACCATTAAGGATCATGTTAGCTGTGGGTTTTTTATATATGGTCTTTATTATAATGAGCTGTATTCCCTCTAATGTATTTCTTCTTTTATTCTTTTTCTTTTTAATCAATGAGAATCTATAGTGTTTTGTTTGGCTTTCTTTCTTTTTATTTTTTGGGGTTTGTGGTTACCATGAGGTTCATATATAACATTCTAAGTAAATAACTGTTCATATTAATTTGAAAATCAAGTAAGGTCAAATACATTCTAAAAGAAACACCCTTCCCCATTTTATGTATATGTTTGTCATATTTTACATATTTTTATTCATATTTTTCTTATGTCTAATTATGGTCACTTATTTTCCATTTAAAGAACTCCCTTTAATATTTCTTATAAGGCTGGTTTAGTGGTGATAAACTCCTTTATATTTTGTTTGTCTGGGAAATTCTTTATCTTTCCCTTAAATCTGAATTATAACCTTACTGGGTAAAGTATTCTTGTTTGTAGGTTTTTTTCCCTTCAGCACTTTGAATATACCATGGCACTCCCTTCTGGCTTGCAAAGTTTCTGCTTGATAGCCTTATAAGATTTTCCCTTGTAGGTAACTTTTTGTTTCTCTCTTGATGCTTTTAGGATTCTCTATCTTTCACTTTTGACATTTAAATTATTATGTGCTGTGTGTTGACCTACTGGAGTTCATCTTGTTTAGAACTCTCTGTACTTCTTGGACTTGGATGTCTATTTCCCTCCTTAGATTATGGAAGTTTTCAGTTATTATTTCTTCAAGTTTTCCACAACTTTCTCTCTCTCTTCCTCTTCTGTGACCCCTATAATGTGTATGTTTGTTCGTCTGATGTTGTCCAAGAAATCTCTTAATTTACCCTCATTTTTTGAAAATTCTTTTTTTTTTTTTTTTGCTGTTCAGCTTCTGTGCTTTCCATTACCCTGCCTTCCCAATCATTGCTAGTTCTTCTGTGTCCTCTAATCTACCGTTGATTCCCTCTACTGTGTTTTATCTCAGTTATTGTATTCTTCAGCTCTGATTCTTTTTAATATTTTCTATCTCTTTATTGAAGGTCTCACTGAACTCTTCCATTCTTTCCTCCAGCCCAGTGAGTATCTTTGTGATTATTACTTTAAATTCTTTTTCAGGCATATTGCTTATTTCTATTTCATTTAATTCTTTTACTGAGTTTTTTTTTTTCCTTGTTCTTTCTTTTGGAGCATATTCCTCTGTCTCCCCTATTTTACTTTACTTTCTGTGTTTGTTTCTATGGATTAGGTAAAACAGCTACTTCTCCTAAAATTGAAAAAGTTGTGTTATGTATGGTGACCCCCATGCAGGCTGTATGTGCTTGGTGACTTTTGGTGGCTGGCTGGAGCTGTGGCTATATATACTAGTTACTCTTTTAAATTTTTTAAAATTTTTATTTATTTATTTTTGAGAAAGAGAGAGAGAACATATACAGGGGAAGGGGCAGAGGGAGAAGCAGACTCCCCACTGAGCAGGGAGCCTGATGCAGGCTCAATCCTAGGACCTGGGATCATGACCTGAGCCGGAGACAGATGCTTAACTGACTGAGCCACCCAGGTCCCCACTAGCTACTCTTTTAAACTGTAACATGTCTCCATCTCTCCTGCTATTATCTTGCCATTCTCTCTGTCTTTGGTTGCTCAGTAACTGTTTAGTCAGCACTCAGTTCTTCTTCAGGAGAAATTGTTATATTAATAGGTTTAATCTGATGTGTTCTGTGGAGGAGGAGAGTTCAGAATCTTCCTATGTTGCCATTTTAAACTGAAATTTTTTTCTTTAAATTAACTTTAAATTTATGACTCCAAAGTACAAATAACCACTCACTATTACTTAACATTTGTACGTATGTATGTATGTATGTATGTATGTATGCATGTATGTATGTATTTATTTTAGTGAGAGAGAGAAGGAGGTGGGGGAAGGGGCAGAGGGAGAGAGAGAATCTCAAGCAGGCTCCATGCCCAGCACGCCCAGTGCAGGGCTCAGTCTCCCAACCCTGTGATCATGAACTGAGCCAAAATCAAGAGTTGGATGCTTGAGCAACTGAACCACCCAGGCGCCCCACTATTACTTAACATTTAGATTATATTTCTCTAGTGTGTTCACTTTTCTATTCACTTAGATTACTTTTACAACTGCTTCTTAAATATCCTCATGCTCCCACTTCCCTCTCTTCCACAAACTCTCTTCCTATATCCTTGACTCATTCTTTAGTGATAAAATAAAAACCTTCAGAGAAGAAATCTCTTGTTCCTACTTCTACATCTCTAAATATATGGGCATCTCCACTCATTGTTAGTGTCTCACCGTCAGTAATCTTAGAAGGAGTTTTTCAGTTCCTAAGAAGTTTTAATATTTTAGTTGTAAGATAAGTTTCATTCCCCATTCTTCTTTCACTCTCTTCATAAGTTTACATTACAATTATTTCTTTTTCCCCCTTTCTACAGGACTATTTTTATCTATATATAAACACGTTCCAAATTTGTCTGTTTTTTAAGTTTGAATTTCATCTCTCAATCACTTTCTGTCTTTTCCTTACCTTCCTTCCTTACTTTTCCTCAATATACTCTTGTTTTTTTGTTTTGTAAATTTGGACTTATTTAAAATTGCTTTTAGTACCAAATCTATGAAATATTCATGGAAAATTTGAGAGCTCTCTTTGAATTGCTGATTTATAATTTGATTACATTATTGTCAGAAAAAAATATCTGCATGATGTCAGTTTTGGAGATTTGGTAGGACTTGTTTGTTGCCTTGTGCATGATCATTTTTAAAATGTCCTATGGAGGCTTAGAAAAAAATGTGTGTTCTTGTTTGGGACACATAGCTGTATATTTTAGATAAAGATTGCTGTAACTATAACTGCAAATCATACAAAAACATGATTTTTTGTCTGTTTAAAATTTTATATTATGAAAAATATTAAAACTCCCAGCATTCTTATGGATTTTTAATTTTCAATTAAAAAGAAATCATTTACAGATTTTTATATATTCTATTTTCAAATGCCATTTTGCTTTATTGAGACTCAGTTGTTAGATGCATGTAAATTCATGAGTCATATCTGCTTCATGAAAACTTCCTTAAAGACTTATGTAAAATAGCCCTGTTTGACACAATTAAAACATTTTGCTTTATTTGACTTATTTTGATCATATTTACACAATGTATCTTTTATCATCCTCCAATTTCCTTCCTTTTTATGGTTTCATTTTATTTCTCTTATAATCAGTTTATACTGTTTTAATTTGTGTTTTTAATAAAATCTGAGGCTATTTAATAGCTGAAGTTAATTGGTCTACATTTGTTATAATTATTAATATATTTAGGTTTACTTTTACTATCTTATTTGGTTTATTCTATTATGGAATTTGCTTGTTTTCTTCCTTTTTGTCTGTCAGAATTTGTTACTCTTACATTTTAAATATGCACACATTTTATTTCTCTAAAATGTCTACAATTAAATAATACTGCTATTCTCCCCAGAATAGCACAAAGAAATTAAAACACTCAGACTTTTTTCTAGACATCAGTTTGCCATATTACATGTTATTTTTATTTTATATTTTGATCCCACCCTGAAACAGCTGATATTTATTAGAGCTACCAATATATTTTTATTAATTCATTGTTTACAATTAGCTTATTTATTTTTTCTCCTTCTTTCAAGGTTTCATTTTCTTCTTGCTGAAGAATACTCTCTACTAGTTCTTTCAGTGAGGGTTAGTAGGCAGTAAGTTTCTTGGCCTTTGCATATTTTATTTTCATTGTGATATTCCATTTTCTTCTGGATTTATTTTTGCCATGAAAGTCTGCTCTCAATCTAATAGCTGATCCTATGTAGGTAACCTGTTTGTTTTTTCTCTCTGATACTTTCTAGTACATTTAATATTTTATTTTCAATATCTTTGTGATGTGTGTACATGTGGATTTATCTCCTTTTTTCCTTCAAAACTTGATGTGCGTCCTCAGTATGAGCACCCTTGTATTCTGCAATCCCAGAAAATCTTCAGCCATTATTTCTTTAAATATTGTTTCTTGTCAGTTCCCTCTAGTCTATCCTTTAGACTCTCCTTTTATCCTTAGGTTGAAACCTTTTGTTTAGTTCCCCAAGTTAATTAGCTTGTCTTTATATTTCCCATGCTTTAGTTCTCTATGCTGAATTCTGCTGGACTTCTTTAGATCTCTTTTATAATTCACTAAATTTTATTTGGCTGAATCTAGTTTACTATGTAATTTTTTATTGAGTTTTTTCCCATTTTATTTTATTATGTTATGTTAATCACCATACATTACATCATTAGTTTTTGATGTAGTGTTCCGTGATTCATTGTTTGCATATAACACAAAGTGCTCCATTCAATATGTGCCCTCTTTAATACCCATAAGCAGTCTGACCCATCCCCCCAACCCCCTCCCCTCTAGAACCCTGTTTGATTCTCAGAGTCCATAGTCTCTCATGGTTCATCTCCCCCTCCAACCCCCCCCTTCATTTTTCCCTTCCTACTATCTTCTTCTTCTTCTTTTTTTTTTTTAACATATAATGTATTATTTGCTTCAGAGGTACAGGTCTGTGATTCAACAGTCAGACACAATTGACAATGTTCACCATAGCAAATACCCTCCACCAATGTCTATCATCCAGCCACCCCATCCCTCCCACCCCCCACCATTCCAGCAATCCTCAGTTTGTTTCCCAAGATTAAGAATTCCTCATATCAGTGAGATCATATGATACATGTCTTCCTCTGATTGACTTATTTCACTCAGCATAATACCCTCCATTTCCATCTATGTTGTTGCAAATGGCAAGATTTCATTCCTTTTGATGGCTGCATAATATTCCATTGTGTGTGTGTGTGTGTGTCTGTGTGTGTGTGTGTGTGTGTATCACGTCTTCTTTATCCATTCATCTGTCGATGGACATCTTGGCTCTTTCCACAGTTTGGCTATTGTGCACAGTGCTGATATAAACATCAGGGTGCACATACCCCTTCAGATCACTACATTTGTATCTTTGGGGTAAATACCCAGTAGTGCAATTCCTGGGTAGTATGGTAGCTCTAGTTTCAACTTTTTGAGGAACCTTCATAATATTTTCAAGAGTGACTGCACCAGCTTGCATTCCCACCAACAGTGTAGGAGGGTTGCCCTTTCTCTGCGTCCCCTCCAACATCTGTCGTTTCCTGACTTGTTAATTTTAGCCATTCTGACTGGTGTGAGGTGGTATCTCATTGAGGTTTTGATTTAGATTTCCCTGATGCCAAGCGATGTTGAACACTTTTTCATGTGTCTGTTGGCCATTTGGATGTCTTCTTTGGAAAAATGTCTGTTCATGTCTTCTGCCCATTTCTTGATTGGATTATTTGTTCTTTGGGTGTTGAGTTTGATAAGTTCTTTATAGATTTTGGATACTAGCCCTTTATCTTATAGATATGTCATTTACAAATATCTTCTCCCATTCTGTCGGTTGTCTTTTGATTTTGTTGACTGTTTCTTTTGCTGTGCAAAAGCTTTTTATCCTGATGAAGTCTCAATAGTTCATTTTTGCCCCTGCTTCCCTTGCCCTTGGCAATGTTTCTAGGAAGAATTGCTGCAACTGAGGTCAAAGAGGTTGCTGCCTGTGTTCTCCTTTAGGATTTTGATGGACTCCTGTCTCACATTTAGGTCTTTCAACCATTTGGAGTCTATTTTTGTGTGTGGTGTAAGGAAACGGTCCAGTTTCATTCTTCTGCATGTGGCTGTTCAATTTTCCCAACACCAATTGTTGAAGAGACTGTCTTTTTTCCATTGGACATTCTTTCATTCTTTGTCGAAGATTAGTTGACCATAGAGTTGAGGGTCCATTTCTGGGCTCTCTATTATGTTCCATTGGTCGATGTGTCTGTTTCTGTGCCAGTACCGTACTGTCTTGATGATGACAGCTTTGTAATAGAGCTTGAAGTACAGGATTGTGATGCCACCAGCTTTGCTTTTCTTTTTCAACATTCCTCTGGCTATTCGGGGTCTTTTCTGGTCTTTTCATACAAATTTTAGTAATATTTGTTCCAGTTCTTTGGAAAAAGTGGATGGTATTTT